ATATACAATTATAATGCTGTATAATTTTTTCCGCTCTCATTTTATGAAATACTTTTATTCAAACACTTTATATGCATTTTTATTTTGGTACCGGGGATTAAACTCTGGACTTTGCACTTGCGAGGCAGGCAGCAGCACCACTGAGCTAAACCCCCAGCCCCACTTTATATGAATTTTAATATCACTCATTAGCATTACTGTTCCTATGATTAGACCCTTTTAAAAATTATGAATGTTTTCCAACATACTATAAAAAGCTTACAATTTTTTATATACCAATTGCTTGGCTTCAAAAATTATCAGTACATGGCCAATTTTATTTCATCAATATCCATACCTATTTCCTTTACCCATCTTTGACTGGATTATTTTAAAGTAGATCCTAGATGTCATAATTTCATTGTTAAGTAATTCATAATACTGAAAGACAAGAAATCTATATTTTGTAATGTAAGTGTAATATTTTCATTCTGCAAAATGTTAATGATAATTTTTAACCTTTTAAAATAAGTAGTTGATGTTAAAAAATCCTTAATTGTCTAATTTTTAAAAATTCAGTTCATTTGTTCAAATCAAGATCCAAATAAGACCTGTATGTTACATTTAGTTAATGTGTCTTTCAAGTCTCTTTTAACCCATATGTTTTCTGACTTTCTTCTATATTTTTCTTGCAAATTATTTATTGAAGAAACTATTTCCAGAAATTATATGAACAATAATAATATTGGTATTAATATTGTTTAACATATAAAAGGATAAAGGACATTACTAATCATATTAACTGTTATAAATGGTATGTGTGAGGCCTCTCAGAAACAGGCTTTGAAAAAAAGCTTTATTGCTAAGTGTGAACAGAGACTGTACTCGGGGGCAGATTTGAGCAGCTAGCTGGGTAGAGCCAAATTTCTTTCATCTATGTGTGGATGGGCTGACATTGAGAGAGAGATATCAGCAGCTAGGTGGGAAGAAAACTACATTTATATAGGTTTTTAGGAAGAGGTTATGATCTTAAGAAATGTTTATGACTGAAGGTCCAAGGATGGTCAGTGCAGGTGTGCAGACAATCGTTGGACTTCTAGGCGCCTGGGAGATTGTACACTCTGTCCTAAATTTTCTTTATGGCTGTCTGTCCTAGTAGCCTGTTGTTTGCAGAGAGTGGCCTGTTTGAATGCAAAGGTCTCACTCAGGCTAGGCATGACATTAACATTCCTAGGAAACAAGATTTTGGTGAAAGAGATACAAACAAAACTGAGACATTAAATTAAACACTATAAAACCAATTTGAATAATATGTACTCAAGATGTATTTCCTCTTAAAAATATTAAACCACATGAAAGTGCTGATATGCTACCATTTTTATTTATAGAAAAGGCAATTTCACTTGGTGCAAAACTGTATTGTTCATGTGGTTCCTATCTCTGTCCAAAAAATGCTCAGAAAAAATGTCAAACCTAATAGCAATGAGTCTTTTTAAACATCAAATTGTGGTCTCTAGATATCATTTCCCATTAAAAAAGAGCAAGAATTTTTAATTTTATTTTATTTTTTATAAATGATTAATTCTGGAGCGGGGCAAGATATGTGCAACACAGCATAGAATATAGTGTAATTTTATAAAACAAGGACATTGACAAAAGTAGTTGGGTCAAAAGGACTCAGGAGTCAGTTTGATCTTCATGATGATTCCTACACACATATTAAGTGAAAAGCATTTCTTCATATTTTCTGAACTACACATTTTCTGAACTATGAATGGTTACGGATTTGACTGGAACTAATTAATCAATAGTTTCTTCTATTGGTGATTTTTTCTTTTTTATTCTCCAGTAGACAGGTTGAGTGACATTTCGTTGATGAAGTTTCTTTCAGAACATTTAACACTTAACTCTAGAGAAGGTCAATGGATTAGAGAAGGTCACGATTTGCATTTCTGGTCAACTAGCAACATGTCTTTATAAATATGGGCTATATTTAACTTTGGAGTTGTATATATGAAGAGAAAAAGGCCCTTTACTTTGAGAAAAACTATAGCAAAACTGGATGGAGATCATTATCTGGAATGACCAGGAAATGCTTCAGGGCAGAGGGAAACCTTTTGCAATTCTGGTGATTACTGCTAAGGGGAGTTTAGCAGGTTCTTCTCATATGGAGTCTTTTCATGAGAATTGAGTATTTTGCCTCTAGTTATTCTGTCTCCAACTAAAAATATAGAAAAAAAAATCTTAGAAATCTGTGTAGATGCTTCTACCATACTGAATTTTTGAAGCCTTTGTATATCTAAGAACCAAGTGGAACAAAAAACATTAGGAGTCAGTTCTGAGTTTCTCCCAAATGGCTTCTGTGACAGGTAAATGCAGAAAAATGGGTACACTTATCTCAGGTCTTTTTGCAGTCTTGCCAGTTGTTATTTTCTACATGGAAATGGAGCACAATCTCTGTAGATGAGAATAAATAAACAATAGAGGCCTTTTCAATGCAGAATATTTTCCACCAGAAAAGGTGGAAAATATGCCCTGCTTACAGGTGGGACTAGAACTGGACTAGCATGGGAGTAAACCTCTTTCTTTTGCAGAAATATAAACTGACAATGCTTTGTTTTCTTAAATAAACTTGTGATTACTTTCAACTTTCCCTATCTCTTCTTTTTCACAAAACTGACTCTTGTAGTTTAGATTGAGAATTCCCTCTAAGAGCTTCATGTGCTCAGAGGTGGGGCTTGTGGAAGGTGACTGGATTATAGAGTCCCTACAGCTGACTTGCCATTAGGAGGCATGGCCTGGTTAGAGGCAGGTCACTGGGGAGGTGACCTGCGAGGCATCTCTCCCTCCCTAGCTCCTTTCTCTCTCTGCTTCCTGACCTCCCAGGCAAGAGCAGATCCACCCAGAATCCTTCTACCATGCCATTTCTGTGTGGAAGACTGCCAAACATGGACTGAAACTTCTGAACTGTGAGGAAAATAAACCCTCTTCCTTTAAGTTATGGGTGTCAGGGATTTTGTCTCAGTGACAAGGAAAATGACTAAAGCACTAACTTTCTCTTAATTCTACCTTTTGAATATTTTTTCCATATCATTTTCTCTATTACTGCTCCCACTACCCAAAAAGTCTTTGTCACTCACTCACTGGCCTAGTTCTCTGGACTACTGATTCCAACCCATCTCCACACTCCTATGGATTTTGTCTTGGGAAACATAAATGACCACATCATTTATTTTCACAGTGCTATATGAATAAGGCTCAAATGCCCCAATTTGGCATTTAGAGGCTTCTTTTTGACCAAGTCTTATCCTTGCACCTGCCTGGTCCAGTTTTAGCAAGAATCAAAATAAATCAGTTTAGAACTGTTGCATCAGAGGCATCACCACCAATCTTGACTCATTCCTGGGTCCAGACTCTTGATCAAGTATAGAAATGAAACAATGGAGGCCAGACAAGTTGCAAAGCAAAAGCAAGATTTGCAAGAAGTGGAACACACTCCTCCAGAGAGGAGAGCCCCCAGAGCTGGGAGTCCACTGCTCCTTTGGAGTAGGGCTCATTTTAAGGTGGTTTGGGCAGTTCCTTCCCCTGGGAGACATAGTCTGCTCATGCAATAGAATTTGATCTTGGATTGGGTCTTCAGCTTGTGTCCATGATGAGCCTGGAACAGTGTTCTGGTTGGGTTAATGCTTGGAGTCATGTGGCTCTTCACTCCGCAGCTTCTTTAAGTAGGTTTCATTTTTCCCTCCACATCTGCTTCCCTATTCTAGTCCTTCCTAGAGATCCCTGTCCCTACAGAATGAATCACCAACCTTCACATCTGATCTCCTTCAATATCTGATCAAGTTTCTCATCCTTCACTTTTGATGTTTAAATCCCTGTCCTGTCATCAGCAAGAATCCTATTTATTTTGTTTAGCAAGACTCCCCTTAACTTCAGTGTCTCTTCTTTTTTTTTTCATTAAGTTTATCGGTACATTTTAGGTATACAATACAGTTACATTCATCATTAGGACCTTGTACCTTTACATGATGTATCTTGGTTCTTATTTTTTCCACATTCCCCTACCCTCCCAACTTGGAAACAGCCCAATTGCCCATCAACTGGAGACTGGATAAAGAAAATGTGTTTTTTAAAAAAATAAAATGCAGTACTACTCAGCCATAAAGAATGAGAAACTAGAGACATTTATAGCTAAATAGGGAAGGGTGGAGTGGCTCAATGTCTCCTCTTAATAATTTTCCATGCATGCCCCCCCCACTATATTGTCTATAATTCCCTATTTTTTCTATATTTGAAATTAAGCCCAATGTCTCTCGTATTGTGATAGTCTTGAGATCTGTCACAAAAGTCCTGAATAAAATCTTCCTTATCATTGTAACATGTAGCAGAGTAATTCTTTACAGGACCAAATCTGCAGTTTGAAATGACTATCTTATATTCATACTATCAACAGGAACTCAAAAAACACTCTCAGAAGGAATACACCTATTTCTCTCTGAGAAAATACTGGGTCTTCTTAGGGAAAATGTATGGCCAGAGGTGGCCCAAAACTAAAGCATCTTCCATAAAGAATAGATCCCAGTTGTAACCACCTCAGTATTATCTGTGTAACAATTAAAGAATGTATTCTATCACAAAACATGATTCTTTTTGTTTACAAACGCATCTGGCTAAGGATGACAGAAAATCTAATCTCAGTCATGTGGTCTGGGATTTATGAAGTTCAGAAAATATGGATAAAGAACCATTTAACATTTCTTGTCTAAGTCCCAACCTCTCTATCTCTATTCCTTTTTGGCAAGTTTAAATTGAATTCCTCTACAGGCTTCCCAACAAGGGCCTGGCTAGGAATTTCTTTCAGGGCTGCCTAAAATATAAACCAGCTATTTCCTTTCCTGGAGGAGGAGGTTAAAAGCTCCTAGGTCCTAAAATCCTTTGTTGAGTGTTCTAGGGCAGGGGATTGCAAGGGTGTGGTGGGTACTAAAAAAGTGTTTTACTGTCTTTCCTGTTTCCTACTGCAGCAAGAACAAGGCAGGAATGATATCGCCATAGATGACCCTGCCACACTGGCTTATGGTAATTTTCATCTCTCTTCACCATTCTCTGAAATCTGCTCCACTGGCTCCCTGACCATAACAATGGATCCCAACATACACATGTTTATAGCAGCAGAATTCATAATGGCTAAATCTTGGAAGCAGCCTATACATCCATCAACAGATGAATGGATAAAGGAAGTATGATATTTACACATGGACTTCCAGGAAAATGGCAGACTTGTAAGCAAAAACTAAAGTGCCTCTTCAAGATTCAGAATCTGGACACTGGAAAATAACAACTTGAGGAAGAAAAGAAGAAGGGAGGTAGATTCTGAGACCCAGGAAGGATCCAATGGGTAAATTGCAGCCTTCAGAGAAACTGAAGAAACAGAACACAAGGTGGAAAGAGGGAGGAGGATTCTGCACTTTCTTCCTGGCTCCTGGCTCCTGAGAAAAGAAGACCTAAATCTACAGAGACATAGTGAAAGCACAATGGAATTCTACACTGCCATAAATAGATAAACTTGAGTCATTTGTAGGAAAATGGATGCACCTTGAGACCATAATGTTAAGTGAAATAAATCAGACACACATGGTTTCTTTTATATGAGAAACCCAAAGTATAAATAAAGAGCAAAATAAAAGATAATAGGAAGAAGGGAGATAGGTCTTTCTCAAATGAGATTGGGATCAAGAGATGGTGGGAGGGGAGAAAAGGGGGATGACAAAGGGAAGTAAGCTGTGTTATGCATATGTACCAACTCCACATAAGGAATGTAAACATTATGTACTGCAAACATACTAATGAAAATAAAAAATTCCAATTCAAAAGAAGTGGGCCTCAGATCCCATATCTCCCTGTTCAGGGCTCTAATTACATCATCATTTCTCTCTGGACAGACATTGTCACAAACTTCTCCCCCAAGGGTCATTGTTAAGCACAGAAAGCAATCTAGGGGTGTTAAGGGTGTTATACTTTTGGCCCTTACTGGAGCAGAGGCAGAAGTGCATGGTATTGGGAACTTGAGCTCCCTTGGGATATCCCTAGTGAATGAAGGTCAAGCTTCATAGCCCCTGGGACATCTACTGTCTGGACTCAAAGGAAGCAAGAAATCATTTCATTTTCTCACTGTGACTACTCTCCCTCAGGGCAAAACAGAAGATTAAAATATTTTACAACAGTTAAGTTTAACAGTCACTGGATTTCTATTAACAGCATTCTCTGTGGGCTTGTTCAGAAAAGTAGAGTTGTATAAAGAATATTTGTTTTGCATCTGTAAAACCAAAATGAATGTAAATATTTCTGGGTACTAAAGTTGAATGACAACATCCTTTTGAGCTGTGGTTGATGACAGCAGCCCCCAAACTTTCTGGCACCAGGGACGGGCTTCACGGAAGACAATTTTTCCATGAACTAGGAGTTAGAGGTGGGGTGGGGTGGTTTCAGGATTAGATACTCCTAAGAAGCCTGCAACCTAGATCCCTCACATGTGCAGATCACAGTAGAGTTTGTGCTTCTATGAAGATGTACTGTTGCCACTGATCTGACAGGAGACAGAACTCAGGTGTTAATGTCAGCGATGGGGAGCCACTGTAAATACAGATGGAGCTTTGCTTGCTCACTCACTGCTCACTTTCTGCTGCCCACCCCTTTTCCTATCAGTGCATGGACTAGTACCAGTCCATGAGTTGGGCATAGGGACCCTTGGTCTATGACATCTGATGTCAATACCAATATAATGGTTCCCTACCCCAAAGCTTCTCTATACATTTTGAAATAAAAATCAATGGTAAAATTTTAAAACCTTAAAAAGTATTTTATAGGTGAGAAACTGAGTCATAGGAAAGTTACTTTTCCAAATAAATTTCATTTCCAGTAACTTATGGCAATCCTTGGACATCTAGGAACTAAATAGTGTTCCCTCTCTGTATTAACACTTACTTTGTTTTGCAAAACTTGGAAAGAGTAAAAAAGTATTTGCTTTGTTACCTCACGCTACTAACATCTTTTGAAGATTCAGGTTTGACATTATCAAATGAGAAAAATGTAGATATATATATTTACCTATGACACTGGACTCACATCTAAACTATATAAAGAAGTCCTGCAAATCAATGACAAAAAAAGATGACACTCCCATGAAAAATAAGCAAAAGACTTGGACACATACAAAGGTAATAAAAAATATGCTATATGTTTAAGTTTTTTAAAAGTCCTTTTAAAAACACGTATTTCCAAGAACTATGAGATAACTATCTTCAAAGAAAGGGGGAATATTTTGAGAGGGATTGATTACAATGAGTGTTTAACTGTAACAAATTTTAAATCATTCACTGTATCTTTTGATCACCCCATATCACAGCAGTTTCCATCAAATAAAAAACATTACTATTTATCCTCATCCACCTTTTTCACTGGATCTGGCACCATGTGACTTCTGGGTTTTCCTCAAGTCAAGCCACCATGAAAAGTAAATGTTTTGAATCGATTTAGGACTTCAAGACAGCATCAATATCACAGCACTCACAAAAAAGAACTGGCAGAATTGCTTCAGAAAGTGGCAAGAATGGTGAAATAAGTGGTTTCAAAGTGAGGCAGAGGATTCTTGGGAGGATTAAATGCCAATGTATCTTTTGCTATAATGAATATTTTTAGAAATGTAAACATTCACTATATTTTTCAATCACATTATTAATCATATTATCAATCATATTATAAATCAATCATCTTAAAAATAACATGTAAGGATGCTAATAAGCACATAAAATGCAATTAATACTATCAATCTTCAAGAAAAATCCAAATTAATATCAACACAAGGTAGCATTTCAGACCTACTAGACTATCTAAAACCAAAAGGACAGATAATACAAGTGTTGGAGAGGATATGAAGCAAGTAAAATTTTCATACATTGTTGAGAGAATATAAAATGACTTAATTACTTTGGAGAACTACTTGCCAATTTATTTTATGGTTAAAGCTACATCTACTGTATGACCCAGCAACAATGTTCCTAGATATTTACCCAAAAGAAATGAACATTTATGTCCACAAGAATAATTCGTACTTGTAATAATTTTCACTATGAATAGCCAAAACAATCTTGAACAAAAATAACAAAGCTGGGGGCAACTAGTATATTATCAACTTCAAATACATTACAAAGCTATAGTAATCTAAAAACATAAGTTTGGAGATGTAGCTCAGTTGGTAGAGTACTCGCCTAGTGTGCACAAGGCCCTGGCTCAAATTCCTATTACTAAAAAAAGAAGAAAATTCTACAGTATGGTACTAATATAAAAGCAGCCACATAGGCAATTGAATGGAATAGAGAGCCCACAAATAAACCCACACCATTATGGTCAATTGGTTTTCAACAAAAGTGCCAAGAATAAACATCAGGGAGAGTGTTTTAAATTAATGGTCCTGGGAAAACTGAAAAATAAACTTAGCCTCTTATCTCATACCATATACAAAAATCAATACAAAGTTAACTAAAGTATTAAATGTAAGACCTGAAACTATAAAACTACTAGTAGAAAACATAGGGGAAAAGCTCCATGACATTAGTCTGAGCAATAATTTTTTGGATGTAACCACCAAAAGTTTAATCAAAAAAGTAAAAATAGACAGATAGGATTATATCAAAATAAAAATTTTTATACAGTCATGGGAATAATCAACAAAGACAATCCATACAATGGGCAAAAATATTTGCAAAACATACATCTGGTAAAAGGTTTATATTATATATATATATACATATATATGTAAAAAATATATATATATGAACTCAGTTGCAAGAAAAATAACTCAATTAAAAATGAGCAGAGAATTTGAATAGACATTTCTCAAAAGAAGACATAAAAATGGTCAACAGGTAAATGAAAGAATTTTCAATATCATTATCAAAAATACAAATTAAAACCACAATGAGATAATGCCTCTTACCTAGTAGAATGTCTATTAACAAGATATAAGACAACCAGTACATATATTGGTAGAAAAGTAAATTAGTATAACCACTGTGGAAAACAGTATGGAAGTTCCTCAAAAAGTTAGAAAGAGAACCACCATACAATCCAGAAATTCTACTATATATCCAAAGTGTGTATATGTATGTATGTGTGTATATATATATATATATATACACATACATATATATATATACACATATATATATATATATATATCTCCAAAGGAAATTAAATCAAAATGTTAAAGAGTTCATTAGTCAGCTTTCCATTGCTGGGACAAAATTCCTGACATTCACAAAGAAGAAAAGATGTATTTTGACTCATGGTTTCAGAGCTTTCATCTATGTTTCTAAAGCAGAAAAATGGTAGAAGGGCATGGTAAGAAGTCATGGCAGTCAGGAAGCAGAATAAGAACAAGGAAATCTGAAAGCAAAGGGCCAGAACAGGTTATACACTTCAAAGCCATGCCCCTAGTGACCCACCTCATTCAACTACACCTCACCTCACAATAAACCCATTAAGCTATGAACTCCTTAGTGGATTAATCCATTGAAGTCAGTACCCTCATGATCCAATCACCTGTCTAGGTACCATTTTCAAATATTGCCACATTGGGTATCAAGCCCTCAGTACATGAGTTTCTGGGAGACACTTCTATTTAAACCATAACAAAGAGATATCTGCATTCTCATGTTCACTGCAGCATTATTAACAATTGCCAACACGTGGAATCAAATTAAGTGTCCATTAACAGATAAATGGATAAAGAATATGGGGTGTATATACACACAATAGAATACTGTTCAGCCTTAAAGAAAGAAACCCTGTCATCTACAAGAACATGATTGAGCCTAGAGGACAGTAAGTGGAGTAAGCCAGGCACAGAAAGATACAACACATGCTCTCACTTGTATAATCTAAAAAAGTTGAACTTATGGAAGTAGAGTATGATGGTGGTTACTATGCACTGAGTCTATATGTTTTTGTGTGGTAATCAATGGACACAAAATTTCAATTAGGAGAAATAAGTTCAAGAAATCTATTGTACAATGTGGTGATTATAGTTAATAACAATATATTTTTTGAAAATTGCTAAAAGAATAAATAATGCATATGTTAATTATCTTAACTGAGCCATTACCTAATGTGTGTGTGTGTGTGTATATAAAAACATCATTTTGTACATGATAAACATAAAAATTTTGTCAATTTAAAAATTAAAATTTAAAAATCATAGCATATTTATTCTTAACCACTGGCACTTAAAAATATCCCAAATACCCTTCAGCATAAACATAGATAGACATGCTATGGTACACCTATCTGATGGAATATTACTAGCAGTAAAATTGAATAAACTAACAGTAAATGGATAATGTGGATAGATCACAGACATATTGAGCAAAAAAACCAAAGAAAACCCAGACACAAAAAAGTAGATACTATTTCATTTATATTAAGTTTTAGAACAATTTAAAATAGCCTATGGTGAAATAAATCAGATCACTGGTGGGCTCTGTTTTGTTTCATTACCTTGGTCTTTTTTAAGTTTTAAATTTTTATTAGCATGTTTGCAGTACATAATAATTATATTAATTGTGAGGATTT